CTCGATCTCCAACTTGCTGTGCGATATCTCGTCCGTTCCTTCGGCTGCTGGTACGTAGAGGGTGTCTGCGATGGAGAACTGGATCCGCGTGTACTCGTCGTTGTAGCACTTCTTGAGCCTGAAGTGCCTGACCATCAGCGCGAGCTCTTTGACTGAGGCCACCGACACGAACTTCTTGTAGAACGCGTCGACTATCAGGTGCGACTGCGGCTTGTTGGTCTGCAGCGCCGTCGACTCCGCCAGGCACCTGTCCACGGCGCGCGCGATGTACAAATGAGGTGGCCCCAGCTGCGGTTTGAGAGCCTCGATCTGCGCTGCTTGTGAGTATTGCTTGCCTGCTGCCCGTCCTGCTTTGACCACCTCGGCGATCGTCGGCGTGAGAACGGATAGCCATTCTGAAGCGGCGAGATCGCGAAGTCGTTGTGCGTGTTGGCACGAGAGTTTGAGGAGCACCATGAGAGCCTGCTGCATGTCCTTCTGCTTGAGCGCACCCTCAGCCCAGAGGAGGGCCTCGTCTGCTGCCTCTGCCATCTCCGCGAGCTTCTGCTTCTTCTTGTCTGGTGCCTCTTGGTGTGCCGAAGCGCCGCCTGATGCCGCGCCTGCTCCTCCTCCGCTGGGGGCTCCTGCCTCTGCCGCGGGCTGGTGGCGCTTGAGCAGCGTCTCGAGGTCCATCGAGCTCATGGCGGCGCCACGGCTGTAGGCGTGCCTGTACTATCCTCGGTGGAGGAAGAGCGCAGCGTCCACGAATGTGAATCTGAAGGTCCAGTAGCGCTTGAGCCGTGAAGCTGCAAACTGGGCACGCTGAGCGCCGAGGCTGGATAACTTCTGACGAGCTGTAAGAACTCCTGCCGTGATGACAAACGTTTCTTTGATAGCTTCTCATGAGGTGCCTCTGCGCATTCTCTTTTGTGCTCAGGGTTTGAAGGCATCTGAAACATTGGTTGGTCACCGTCAACATAGCAGTTTCGTTTCGCACTCGATGGGCCCGGCCCGAGTGTAAAAGTAAACTCTTCCTCGTGGGAAAAACTTCACCGCAAACTCTACCATCTGCGTCTCGCATTTTGCACTCGTATGGCTTCGAACGGTCCTCGTCGCCCTCGTCATCCTCCTTCCTCTGCTCGTCTACCGTGCTCGAGTCGATCGGCGGTCCGATGGAGTTGGTGAAAAAGCTCGCTCGGATGATCGTGAAATCGATGTCGACCCATTTCGGATAGTCGTCGCAGTAGAATAGACGTAATAGCGGGAACTCCGAAGGGACCAGGTCCTGAAATTCCTCCGAGATTTCGTGCCCAAGCTGCAAGTCCTGTCAAACCTGTTTGGCCCATGGGTTCGCTTGGGGGGTGATGTTCCAGTCCTCGTCAATCGAGTCGTCGCCCCCCATGCCTCCGAGAATCGCAGCTCGCGCCTGCCTGTGACAAAACGGAAACTGTGCCCAGCTCTGGTACCACTTCAATCGACGTACCTGGAGCTCCTGTGCAGTGGGTAGGATGCGCCGGTGCTGCCACTAGCGCTGAGAGGACCATCTACGCCTCTCGCCAGACTCATGTTCCGAGAGGCCCCTCAACCCCAGTCCCCGTCTCATAGCCCGAAGTACTATCTTGTCCGAAGCCGTCGAGCAAAAAATCATCTGGAATACGGCCTTCCATTCCCGATAATAAGGCTGATTGCACAAACGCGATGATCGACATGCGTTTAATACTGAGCGCCGCGTTGTGCACTAGGAAGTATGATATCGTGCCTAAGCCCGTCCTGCCCGCTTGTAGTCGTTTAGTTCTTTCAACTTGTAGCGATCCCGAAGTAGTGAGCCACCCGCCCAAAACTCGCATACATCGTCCACATTGTCCTGGGTAAGGTAGAGCTCTGGAAAAGAGTAGCCTGCGCTGCGTCGTGCAGCCAGTCCCAAAAACTTTGGCTAGCGTGGCTCGCTTATCATCATTAAGTCGAACTCCTACATCTTCAAGATTTTCTGAAAGACGTCTACGGCTCGAGGAGGCCAGAGCCAATGGGTGAGCTGCCTCTCCCCCCCTGGATGCGGTGGTGGCCCCCAGCCTGGAATAACGCACTTCGTGATGTCGTCAGCGTAAATCGTGATCCCCACATCCGTCGTCGTGTCGTCGGGCTCGCGTGCCAGAGCGTATTGGGCCGGGCTAGTAGCGTGCCGATAGGAGAGGAACGGCTCGATCCCCTTCAAGTAGAAGTAAAGAAAGGCCCTAGCTGGATTAGGATGTCCCATCATCTCCCCCGTCGTCGGCCTGAGAGCTACGGGTCCCGAGTGATTTTCGATCTGGAGGGCCCCCTGGATTGCGCGGGTGTGCTGAAATCTTGGGCCCTCTGGAGCGTGCAAGTCCCCGGTAGTCAAGAATGAAGGCCCTCTTTTTATACTGGCGAACGCGTTCGTGGCGTCCTCGTTCACGATGGCATGTGAGAGACCCTGACGTTGTAAATCGCCAGGATACGCAAACTTGCACTGTAATCGCATCCTCCCTGCGTCGATGTCGCGCAAATCCGCGACAATAGTAAGGGGGAGAGGCTCGAACTTTATGTCCACGGTTCCATAAATATGCGTTCCAAGCCTTGCCGATCGGGCAGAAGAGATGAATCCATCGTCGGCCCGCAGGCCCTGTCTTACCTGTCCGCTTGTCGAGGCCCACGCAAGATGATATGTCGAAGAGCAAGGGCGTGGTCGTCGCCCTCCTGAAACAGGCCAGTCTATCCACGATCCTCTCGTTGAAGCCCTGCGCCGTCGACGGTCAGATGTCGCTGCCGAGGCCGCCGCGAGTGAACTTCGACCGCTGCTCCTCGTCCAAGAGAATCAGCCACAACTCTGAAGGGATAGACCACTGTGGTGTCGCCCTCCTCTTGGGCGAGCGTCGTAGTTGAGTGATGATGCCCATCAGGTCGTCGCGCGCCTGACTCAAGTCCGCGAACTGCATCGCATCGTACCTCTGCTGGTCCGCGCGCGTGGACTCGCCCCCCTCGTGGGTGGCGAACCTCCATCTCCCGCGTGAGGTCGCATGCGTGGGCGCCCGACCCCCCTCAGTAGCTGGCCCCATCAAATGCTGTTTCACCTCGTGCGCCTCACAATTCTCATCCCGCGCAACGAAATAGCGTCGATGACGAGGTCCCCGTCCCTTGCGAGACAAGCGCCTCGCCAGACGCTGCGCCGTAGCATGATCGTGTCGAGCCCAAGCCTCATCCAACTCCGTCGTGATGGCAGCATTCCGTTCTGCGGTGATGTCTCGCGAAACGCGACGAATCCGAAACGTAATGCGTGCCAGTCGAAGCTCGATCTCCGCCTGTTCGGGATGTTCGCCTCCGCCTCGAAGGAAATCCACCGTCTCCATAGTATTTCGGATCTCCTTGCGGCGTGCTAAAAGTTCCGAGCATTCTGCTTCAAGTGAAGATTTGTTCTGCTCCAATGCCGTCGGCTTCTCAAATTCCAGTTGTGCGGCCAATGTGATCAGCGATGCGGAAGTGTTCCAGACCCCGTCCGGGTTCGGCCTGCTGCAAAGGCGAATCCAATTATCTTCGCCAATGTCCAAGATCGCCTGGTGAATCTGTTCCACTGCGTTCTAGCAGAACTCGTCGCCGCGCAGCATGCCCATGATTCTGTTGTAGTCCCAGGTATGGCGCCGATGCTGCTGGGCCTCGAAAGTGCACTGGGACTCAAGGTAGAGGGGTCGGTGATCTCGTGTGTCCAGCGTGTTGATGGCCTGCAATATGTTGCCAGCCGACGGTAGAGTCTTACAATTGACCACATAAGGGCGAAGGCCTTGTGGAATATGAACGAAATCGATGCGTGAGCTATATCCTCCAGCTGCAAAATAAGTGCCCCCCGCGGGGTGAAAGGTATTAACGGCCATGATATGCAAATCCCGAAGACACTGGTGCCAGAGACGTGCCGCTAGTCCCTCTTCCTCAGCTGCCAGAATGCCCACGGCCTGGTCCTCCTCCTCGGTCTGGGGTTCGTAGCCGATCGTGAGCTCCCCCTCGCATCTGTCGTCTGAGCTGTACCCGAACCGATCGTTGAGGTCCACGCCGATGATCGGCGTACGTCTCGCCCCGACGCCCTCCACAAGAAAGCGGGTCCACGCAATCATCGCCTGCACAGTAGACCGATCTCCTGATCGCGTAGATCTGCATGAAGACTGCGCTGGGAAGTAGAGCACAATCAGGAGGAGGTCCGAGGAACTTGATTTGAGGTGTACCGCCCCGCATCGGCCCGCCAGTCGGGCTGGAGGTGTGTAGATCCGTCTTATGAGATTGCGGGGTAGACGTTTACGATGTAGAGAGATACTGACGCCGCAGCTTTTGTTCGTCGCCCGTGTCCATCCAAACGAGAGCTCCCAGTGGCTGTGATGTTGGAAGAGACTATGTTCTGAATCTGCTGCTTGGCGTCGGCATGTCCCAGGGAGAAAAACTGCACTCATATTCAAAAATTCTTCCGATATCTCCATGGCCCTGGTGGGCCCCGTAGTAAACATAGGATTGTACGTGCAGATACGAAAACGCTGAGGTGTGGGAAGAGAGGCACCAGACTCCATCTCGAAGATGAGAAAGTACTGCGCCAGGGCGATCACAGCGGGAAGCCACCGTCCTGGCGGCGCTGGCGGCGCGACTCTTCTCTCAGCAGGGGCAGAGAGGGCCCCAGGCAAGATCAACGAAGCATTCCGCTGCAATCCAGTACGGTGCACCCCTGACATGTACAGTATCCGCGTGAGTGTGTGTTCTCTTGATCGCTGTGCGGCTGGATGATGATGATGATGGTGATGATGAGGAGGAGGAGGAGGAGCAGAGATGACGAGGATGGACGCGGAGTTGGTGAAGTGGATTGAGGCAATAACGATGATATATGGATGGATCAGGCACATGCGAAGAAGTGAAGCAGGAAGTATGTCAACTGGATGTGGAGGTCGACGAACGAGAGGGTGGGTGTCGTTGACGGGCAAGAGGAGGAGGAGGGGGATAAGAGGCTGGTCCGAACTGGCTGAGGCGTCGACTCAGAATTCATGTCGGTGGCGCCCACCGCGCGCTGCTTCGCAGCCCTCGCCATCAGCCTGGTGATCCATCTCCTCCTCGTGCTCGACCCCTTCCTCTCGACTCTGACGGCCCCTCCCGCTCCGCCTCCCCCTCGCCGCTCCCGCCGCCGCCTTCCTCCCCTCCTTCCCTCCTCCTCCTCCTCCTCCTCCTCCTCCTCCTCCTCCTCCTCCTCCTCCTCCTCCTCCTCCTCCTCCTCCTCCCCTTCGCCTCTCCTGCCTGCTCCCTCTCCTCCGTCCCCCCTCCCCATGCACATCCACCTCCACCTTCCGTCCACATTCTTCTCCTCCCCCCTCTCTCTTCCCCTTGCTCCCGCTGCTCCCCCTCCCCATCCATGCCAGACCAGCGCCCTCTACCCTCCCCCTTCCACAACGTCATCCTCCTCCCCCCTCTTCCCACCCCCTCTTTCCTCCCACTCTCTCTCTCTCTCTCGCTCTGCCTCCGCCTCTGCCTCTGCCTCGCTCCCGCCATCAACCTAGCGATCTGGTCCATCGAATCCACTGGCACCCGGCTCGCATTGGCCACGACCGTGCCCCACGAGTCGTTGTGCTGCACGGCGAGCGGCGTCGACTGCCCGTCGGCGGAGTCCCTCAGGAGGTCCCGGAGGCACTCGTTGTAGACCTCAGGGAGGCGACGATGAGGGCGAATGGCCCGGGGTGGGAGAAATGCATGTATCCTTAGGTCGGGCATGGCCCCCTACAGGCGGATGTTGGGCGAAAAGTTTGGCATGCTCAAACAATATGCGAAAATTATATGAAAATAATGGAAAAAATCGTCCCCAGACTACCTGTTTACATTCTTTGAATATTCCCTCTGTAGAGGGACAGGCCCGACTTAAATGTATCCGGGGGCGCCGATGGTCCATGCCTTCGGCGAGGCTCTGGGGCGAACGCCTGTAGTGCCCTCCCCCCTGGGCCCTTCTCCCCTTTTCGTCGCCTCCGCACCTCCAGGAAGGAGGCCTCCAGGGACCACGCCCAGCCCTGGGCGCCCATCCGCCGCGAGGCCTCGAACACCTCTCGGGGCGAACAGGTGGCTGGCCATCGCTCGGATGCGCGACTTCGCGCGTGTATTTCTCGATTTCTCGCAGGATGACTCTCAATGCTCCTCGGTGGTCCCCCTCGGGGAAAAATGCGCACGTCCGAGCGATGCCAAGGTGGGGTGGGGGGGCGCTGCGCTGGTGGGGTCAACGCGGCGGTCGAGCCCAGGGGCAGCAGGACCGGCAGATCGCACGCCTCGAGGCTCTGCTGGCCCGGGTCAATCCACGCCATGGGTCAACCAGGCCTTGCAAGACCCTGCAAGATCCTGCGTGATCCGCTCGGGTGAGATAATCGGTGGGCACTTCCCCGCTCCCCCAAGCTCAAGAGTTGGCACACGCGGGGGAGACTGGTCGAAGTGCAGCTCATCAGACCTACCGCCAACTTCGAACGTTGGGAGGAGGGGGAGGCGTTGACCGATGAATGTGGCATGTGTGTTCGCGACTTCTTTCCGATGCCTGTCCTGCACCAACGCCCAAATCAATGAGACGCTGGCTCTGCAGGATCCTTCAAGATCTGGCTCTCCGCCTGACCCCCGCTTGAATTGACCCCCGTCTCTTGAGCCCTGACGTCTCGGGCAGCCAGGGCCCCCTGGGGGAAGGATTCAAGGATAGTGCGTGAAACAGGTGCACTGGGAGTGGCAACGACAACACAACGAGACGATGCAAGCGTTGCAAAAGCTGCGCAACATGCTCGAGTGGAGCTGGATCGTGCCACTTGGCCACTCGCACAAAAGAGTTGAGGACCCCTCAAGGGTGCCTTCCTAGTTTGAAAACTACCCACGGCCCGAAATCCGTACGTACTAAAGGTACGTAGGGTCGAGAGAGATCTCTGGAATCTCGTACTTTCGACAAGCCTGGGCGTCGGTCTGCAAAGCCGCACGGCCCAGAAACGGCCTGCTCGTGAACACAATGGGCTCGCTCGGCTCTCCGGCGGTGCAGAATCGCTCTGGGAAGGCTAAAGGTACCGATGCGGTTACTCCCCAGACCTCTCCCAGGGTGCGTCCTGATCTGGATTTCGAAGCGAAAGCAGTGGCGACAAGGGCCTCCCAGGAGGTCCAAGAGGGCGAAACGAAGAAAGGGTAGCAGTATGGGCACCTCTTCCTCATCTCGGGTGCATGTTCGCTAAAGGGGCCCTGGGACGCACAAACAAATACACACAAATCCCAGGACTCCCCATATTTTCTGATATCTTCTGGGTTTTCGTCTTCCCCCCCCACTTCCCATACTTTCCTATATTTTCCTTGGGATCGGCGATGAAAATTGTGTCTGTGCGTTTCTCCCCCTCCTGAGATTCGCTTCGCCACCAGCTCGCCAGCCTCGGAAGCGCGGCCTCGGCGAGAGCGAAGCCCGTGCCTCTTCCATGGCCCTTTTGAGGGCCTGGCGCAAACGGACGGCGCCGACACCCCTCTGCTCTCGTGGCAGGTGCCTTCCCTCGCCACATGCACCGGCCCTCGGCATCCAGTCTGGAGGGGGAATGAAAGAATGGGGCCGGGAGTGTGAACCGCGGTGCGCCGTGGATGCAGTCGGGCTTGATTGGAAAGGACGCGCGAGAGGACACACGACCCTTCCGACGGCAACGTGGCCCCAGAACACCAAAGGACATGCGGGTTGCACAGGCCAGGATAGGCAGGGCACAACGGCACCCTCGGTTTGGCATGTTCGGCCCACTCACCAAGGCCGACTGCAGATCGAGCACATCCGTCCCCGCTGCCCTCCCCGAGTTCAACTCCCCCGCGCGCCTTGCTGAGAGACCTGAGGGGCGGTCGAGAAAGGGCCCTGCGTGAGCCTCCACTCCCACAACCCTCCGCGAAACGAAACGCACGTGTTGCCGACCCCCCCTCGCCCTCGACTTCAATGTTCAGCTGTGCGCGCGGCGCGGTGCGCAGACGCCGTCGGTAGATTCTAAGTCACGGGGTCTGGGGACGCCGGCACGGCGCGGGAAAACTTGCGCTAGGTTTCGCGGAAGCTTGTACGATGCGAGCATCGACGCCAGGACGGTGGGAGCCGGAATGGGGCGACCAGGATTATCGGGGATGTGGCAGGGGTGCGACGCGGAGCAGAGGGGAGGAGGAGAAGGACGAGGAGGCACTCGCAGGGGCAACCAACAATCTCATCCTGCACTCATCTGTGCAATCGCGAACAAGTCGCGGGAAAGAGGTGTCAAGAATTCTGATACCCCCTAAATTAGCTGTCGCAGCAAACGGATCATCCCAACGGCATATCATCGGGATTGCCTGTTCCGCCTGCAAGCGAATGTGACGAGTTCACGGCTGACTGCTCTTCCTACACGAGCTTCGATGATAGATGGCCATTCGAAACTTGCCTCTGTCTCGAGCTTGGCACGCGACCTTTGCACACGTTGGATTTTGGACATGGAGGGGGAAGACAGCCAGGCAGGTAAGGGGAGAGAAGTGGGGAACGACCGACCGACGCACGGAGGTCCTGAAGGAGGGAGGTCGGCAGGGCGTCTGCCCGCGCCCGTCTGCGCGGCGTAGCCTGCGGTCCTGGCCGCGCTCTCAAGGAGCCCAGTGCCGCACACGTGCTTGCGCTGAAGGGGGGGGGGCAGGGAGGCCGTCTGGGAAGAGAGGGTTATGCCACTGGTGTTGGGTCGGGCATGTCCACATACAGGCGGATCTTGGATGACGAACAAAACATACTCAAACAATACTCAAGCATAGTCAAGCAATAATCAAAACATCGTCCCAGACTATTTCTGGATTATGTTTGCATACTCCTCCTGTAAGAATTGAGCAGGGACCGACCGTCCCAGCATTCCTATAGGCCGCCTACCACAAAATGTTCTTAGAACCCCAAAGTGTTCTAATGACAAGAGCCATGCTCTTAGACCGTGAGCCCGATGGTGTTAACACAAGACAGTCCCAGCCAGAAATGTTTGAAGAACATTTCGTGGAAACCACTCAAGGTTCACATAACATCGTTTGGTAGGCCTACAGGCACGCCAGGACGCCTCCTCCTCCTCCTCCTCCACTGGTGGCGAAGCTCGGGCCCGGCCCCCGCCACGAACGGACCGTGGGATGATGCCCCACAAGCGCGGCTCTGGCGGGCCCTGCATAGTGAATGTCTTGCCCGAGCCGGTCTGGCCGTAGGCGAAGAGGCACACTTTGTAGCCGTCGAGGGCGGATTGGACGAGGCCCTCGACCTCCTCGAAGATTTCTTCCTTGGAGGGGGGAAGGGAAGTACGCGCGCTCTGTGGCTGAGGCTCGTGTCCAAAGAAATCTGCTTGACGACTGTCGGAGCCGGGCAGACAAACCTACGCAATCACGGCCTGGCAACTCTTTGGATTCATCTTGCTTCCTCCACCCGTCACGCGTGCGTCCTCCGCGCGCGCCCGCGCACGCTCGCAAGACCCGCGTCGATCGGGACGCGGCGATCAGAGGGCGATATCATGATGAGCATGAGGATGGGAAGTCAGTTCCCGCTTTCGGGGACCCCCACTGCGAACCGACCCCACATTGGCGGCCAGACCGCGCTTGCGAAGGAGAGTGGGTGTTTGGTCCGACTTAGTCTGTCTTGGTCATCCCACCAGCCCTTTAGGGCGTCAATGGTTTAGGGCGTTTCCTGTTCCAACCCCCTTCTTACAATGACACCCCCCTTCCATACCATCCCTTGTCAACAAACAATACAAGGTACACTTGGGGCAAAACATTGGGTCATGCTTGTGGGGCCCGCGAGCACTTTGCACTGATTTTTGAAAAGGACGGCGGGGTGCTACAAGATTGCCTGCCGTGGGCAAGGCCACCACCCCTATCAACAAAACAATACAAACTACACTTCGCGAGTTAGTTAATCTGGATAATGCGCGGCCTTCACGCGATCATTGCCCATTGGTTTTTGACATGGACGGCGGATGTGCTGGCATATTGCCTGCTGTGTGCAGGCCCACCAGACACCATGATGGTTTCCCCGCCGCGATTGTGCATTAGCTTTAGACAAGGATGGTGGCGGCCGACATGTTCCCCGATGTGTGCTGTCACGTGCGCGGGCGCACCTGGCACACTCTGCGCGTGTCCCGATCGTGGCACACCAGGCGAGGCTGGGCCATGCGGCACGCCTGGCGCACGCGGAGGCACGTGGCGAATCTGGCGCACCAAGCGTGCCTGGCACGCTCGGGCCCAAGGGGTGCATAGCACACTCGGGCCCCACGAGTGCCCAGCGCGCGTGGCGCGCCTGGCACGCATGGCGCACCTCGCCACAGCGTCTCGCACATGGGGTCTCCTCTGGTTTCCATTAGCTGGCTGTCAATCCACAGACGACAACTGAACATGCTGAGGCTCGGGTGCTGCTTAAGTGTTGGCAAGGCAGGTGGGAGTGAGCGAGACAACTTGCGGGCAAGGCAAATGTCTTGACCAATGTGCCCTATTGATAAACACCCCCTTCTCCAAGCGACCAGCAGCCAACCCGGACCAATGAGAATACCCCCAACACTCCCTTGGACAAAAAACAATACAACATGCATTTTGCCTCCAACTTTGGAGCATGTGCGGGCGCACCGTGACCACTTTGCAATGGTTTTTGACAGGGGCAATTGGGGTGACGCACATTGCTTGCTGCGCGCAGACCAGCCATCCCAACATACCGTACAACATACACTTTGGCTCCAGGGCTTCTTTTCTCTGAGCTCTCATCTGTTTATCGACTCCTCGAGATGTCACAATTTGTCCATGGGTGTCGGTGCTTTGCGCTCCCTGGAAGAGCCGCCCTTCTCACATCATGCTCGGCACTTCGCTTCGGAGGTGTTCAAGATCCTGAACTCCTCAAGGCCAGGGCCTCAGGCAGACGTGGTCCCTGTTGGTTACCCGCAGCTGGCGCACTTGGCGCAGCTGGAGCACGTGGCACACTTGGCGCACGTTGAGCACGTGCCGCACCTGGCACGCATGCGTGGAATTTCTAGGCCACTCGGGTCGTACTTACATGTGCTGGACGGCCTGCTATCAAGGAGGGTAGCTTGATCACTGCTCCCTGTTGATATACACCCCCTCCCCCAGGCGACTGGCAGCTAATCAGGAGCAATGAGGGCCAACCTCCCACCATCCCTATCAAAAAACGATACGAATCATACTCTGCCTCAACATTCGGAGGGGAGCATGCGCGACCAACTCGATGGCCTCCCCATTTCTGCCAAAAACAATACTAAGAGACTTTGGGGCAAAGTCTGAAGTCATATTCGTCAGGCCCGCGAGCACTTTGTTCTTTTGTTGACAGGGACGGCGGGGGTGTCAGCATATTGCCTGCTGCGCGCAGGGCTACCATCCTTGACGAGAAAACAATCCAACATGCACCTCGTGGCTCAATCTGGATCATGCGCGGCCGCCCCGCGATCACTGCCAAGTGGTGGCGTATGGCCTGCTGTGTGCAGGCCCACCAGACACAATGATGGGCTGTTGTTTTCGACATGGATGGTGGGGGCCGACATGTTTCCCGATGTGTGCTGTTACGTGCGCAAGCGCACCTGACGCACTCTGCACGTGCCCTGAACGTGGCGCACCTGGCGCGGCTAGAGTATGCCGCACGCCTGGCGCACGCGGAGGCACGTGGCGCATCTGGCGGATGAGGCGTGCCTGACACGCTCGGGCCCCAGGGGTGCCTGGCGCGCGTGGCGCGCCAGGCACGCGTGGCGCACCTTGCGCCGGCGTCGCGCACATGGGCTCGGTTTTGGTTCTCAGCAGCTGCCCATCCGAAGGCGACCGCTGAACATGCTGAGGCTCGGGTGTTACGCATCTGATGGGAGGTCGGGTGGGAGTGAGCAAGACGGCTTGCGGGCGGGTGGGTAGCTTGACCAATTCCCCTACCCACTCCCCCTGGACCTGGGCGGGGCGCCCCGCGGGTCGTTGGAGCGTCCACGATGGGGTTGGGGCGAAGGCCAACATCATTGAATTTCTGCAGGAAGAACAGACAACTGCGTAACCATAAACTTTTAAACGGTCCGCGCGGATTTCTTGGATCTGCGCTGGGCCCCCCCCTCCCTGGCGCGCGGGGCGCGCCAGGGGCGGCGCCGGAGGCACGGCCAGGGTGTCCAAGGCGCAGATCCAAGAAATTCGCGCAGACAAGCCAAAAGTTTGTGTTTATGGCGTGTTTCTTCTTCGAAATTCATAGCAAACAAGTTTTGGGCCAAGTTTAGCCACCTGGGAGCGGGGCTCTGACTAAGTACCCCCTCCCTTCTTGCATCGATCACCTCCAAGTGGGACCCCGAGGCGCCTTTGAGGCTCCCAAGAGTGCCCCAAGAGGGCGCCCAGGAGGCGTCGAGAGGCCCCCAAGATGCCCCCAAGATGTCCCAAACGGCTCCCCCGAGGCACTCAAGACGCTTCAAAGGCCCCCTGGACCGCCAAGAGCCCCCAAACGCCCCAACAGGCCTTGAAGAAGCTCTCCAGAGGCATCCGAAGAGACTCCGAAAAGCATCCAGAAAGGCCTCTGGCCTTTCTGTTCGCCCTCGTCCGCCCAATCCTCCTCCTCCCTCCTGCCTCCTATCTCCTCCCTCTCCTCCTCCTCCTCCTCCTCCTCCTCCTCCTCCTCCTCCTCCTCCTCCTCCTCCTCCTCCCTCCTCCTCCTCCTCCTCCTCCTCCTCCTGGTCCTCCTCCTCCTCCTTCTCCTCCGCCTCCTCCTCCTCGTTTCTCCTTCCTCCCTTCCCCCCCCTCCCCCTGCTCCTCCTCCTCCTCCTCCTCCTCCTCTCCCTCCTCTTCCTCCTCCTCTTTTTCTTTTGTACCTTATAGATAGTTCCTCCCTGTTGCATCCCGAGGCCAGTTGGAAGGGCGAGCTGGGCGTTCCGCCTGAGCCTTCGTCACCGTTTGTGATCTTGAAACTTCAAAATTAGAATCAATTTCACGGATGGAGGGCGGCCCGTTTTCAAAATGTGATTCTCGCCTTAACGCCGCGCGCATTCGTCGTAAAGAATTGCATGGGCTTCGCGGATTGAGGGCGGGCCGCGTTTAAGATGTGACTCTCGCTTTAGCGCTGCGCACACATGTCTTGCAACAGTGCCAGCAATTCACGGATGGAGGGCGGGCAATTTCCAAAATGTGTCTCTCGCCAAAGACACTTGTTTTAACATTTCCGAGAGTTTGACGGGAGGAGGGCGGGCTGCATTCATTCTGTGGCTCTTGCATTAGCGCCGCGCACATTCGTTGACTTATCCTGGAGAAAAACCCAACCATATGTAGTGGTGGATACTGCAGCTGTGACTGACGTCTCTTGTGGAAATCGTATGGGGCCACGCAACGTGTGAGGTGTGTGGCGAATCGGGTGCGGGGCCACCATGCAGACCCTGCCGCTGGGGCCTTCGGTGGAACTCCCCATGGGGCCACGAAGCGTGTGAAAGGTGCGCCGAAATGGGTGCAAAGCCGTTATGAAGATCCTGCCGCTATGCGGACCCTGCCGCTGGGGCCATCGGTGGAGCCCCCTTATGGGGTTCCGAAGCGTATGGTGGGCGTGCGGAATCGGGTGCGGAACCACCATGCGGACCCTGCCGCTGGGGCCTTCGGTGGAGCTCCCTGTGGGGCTCCCTGTGGGGCCACTAAACATGTGAGGGGTGTACCGAAATGGACATGCAGAGGGTAGAGGCAAGGGTGGGAGGAGGGAGGGATGGGAGGAGGGAGGCGGAATGAGAGGAGACGCGGGGCGGTGTCTCTTCAAACGAGAACCCAACACCACATAATGTTTGTGAGAAGAAATGCAAGCGCTTCGCGAATTTAGGGTGGTTTTTTTTTCAAGATGTGGTTCACGCCTGATCGCCGCGTGCAGCCGCCTTAATACATTGCATGCGTTTCACGACCTCCAATGGCTAACGTAACATGAACTGGTTTTTGAAAAAGGGGTCAGGATTCTCAAGGCGCAACAGATACGTTTATTCGCGGCGTTGACGTCCCAATAATGGCGTTCTGGCACGATTCGGGTTCGTCAAGACGCAACACTCAAGTTGATTCGTGGCGTTGAAATTCAGAGAATGGTGCTCTGGCGCGCTGCAGGATATTCCAACGGTTGTCTCTCAACGGGGCACTTCCCTGAGTGGGCACGAGCCCTGGTAGGGGCCTATGAAGAGGGAGCTTGGAAGGACGGAACATTCCAATATCGTTGATGAGTCTTGGTTTTGCACTGGCCCTCCTCCTCTTTTTCCTCCTCCTCCTCCCTTTCCTCCTCTGGTTCCTCATCCATCCTCCCCCTCTTTGGGCATATCGGCTTCTCAGCATTTTTATTACAATGCGTCCTTCCCCACATGGCTGATCAGTGCAACTCGCCTAGGCATCGTTTCTGGATTGGCTGCAGAGGTTACTTTCTTGTTCGCGAGCGCGCAGGCGTGCCAGGCGCCGTTCAGTAACGCGGCTTGCAAACAACGGCCTAGAATCCGCACAAGAGCGCACAGGAGCGGGCTACGCTGAGGCACAGGAAACGCAGTGGAAAATGCTGAGGTTACTTTTTCCGTCGCGGCCACGGGCGAATGCGCCAGCAACGTCAAGGGTCGGGCGGGCCACGCGCGAACCTAATTGCCAAACGCGCCGACTAACCAGCGGCCTAAACAGCACCTGAACTGATCGGACTGCGCGAGGTGGTGCGGGCTGCAGCTGCCAGGAACCAGGTCCAGGAGCGAGCGCATGCGTAATTAGCCAAATGCTGAGGTTACGCGAGGCGTCTCGAATTGGCGAAGGCGAGAACACGACTTTACCGCCTCCAAGCAGGCGGTCCTGCCGGCTGGCAGCGCCGAACACCTTGTCGAACGAGAAGCTGTAGGGCTCCGGCCCGCACTGAAGGGACAGCCGGCCGACGTCCTGCGTCTGCACCGCGGTCTGGTCCCCCTCCGCGGCGGGCCGCACTCGGCACATCACCCGGATGTTGCCCCGGAGCTCCTGCGGGAGGGCGGGGGGATGGGACGGGAGGGGGGGGGGAGTGGAATGGCCGACCAGCCATAACTGGGGGAGCTGTGGTCCTTACCCCCCATGGGGGAACCCATCGCATCGACGATCTCTCGAGAGGGGTGTCGAAATCGATGGGTCCCCCAGGGGGGTAAGGACCACGGCTCCCCCAGTTGAGGCTGGCCTGAGTGGGGCAGGGCGGGAACGGGGGGACGGGGATCGGGGGAGGAGGGGGGAAGGCAGGGATGTGCCGTGGAGGAAGGAGGGAGGAGGGAGGAGGAGGAGGAGGAGGAGGAGGAGGGAGGAGGGGAGGAGGAGGAGGAGGAGGAGGAGGAGGAGGAGGAGGAGGAGGAGGAGGAGGAGGAGGAGGAGGGGGAGGGGGCGGGAGGGAGGGGGAGGGCGAGGGAAGCAGGGCAGCAGGCCGAGGCAAGCACGGGGAGAGGACGAGGCGCTGTTGCCCCCCCATGAGAGGTCAAACAATCCACCCCCACGATAACCACCCCAACGCGCGAAGTCGTTCAGTAAAAGCGCCCAGAGAAGGAGTCGAACAGGGCAGGGCCAGTTAATAAACGCCCAGGGCCGTTCAGTACACGCCAATTGTCCGGTCCGGGCGTTTTTCCTCCCTTGACCCATGCTCCTGCATGGCGTTGTGCAGCTCGCGCCTGCTTGCCTCCGCCTCCGCGACCTGCCGCTCCAAGTCTGAGATAAGCGACTGCTTGGCGACCATGTTGCTCTGCTGCACTGCGAGGTCGCTCTGCGTCTGGTCGTACTGCTGGGACAGCTTCTCCACGGTGATCTTCAGGTCGGAGATGGCCTCAAGCTGCTGCAGGTTGCTGGTGCCGTGGTGGTCCTTGTAGCTGTTGAAATCCACCTCGAGCATCCGCCGCTCCTGGCACGCGACCCTCGCCTCCTCTGGGGAAACCAAAAGGTACCGATGCATGCTGCTCCTCTCTGGACCTCTCCCGGGGTGCGTTCTGACCGGAGTCCCGAGGCGAATCCAGCGGTGGCAACGAGGGCCGCCCAGGAGGCCCAACAGAGGGAAAACGGGGGGCAGCGGCATGGGTACTTTTTCTCCTCCGATCCTCGGAGCTCTTCTCAACCTGCCGCTGCAGGTTCGCGGTCTCCGCCCTGCGGTCGCCCCGCTCCTTCGACAGCTCGGCCCGCGCGACCTCCGCCTCGCGTTAGGTCGGGCCCCTCCCCCTACAGGCGGGCTTTGGGCGAAACGTGAAAAACACTCCAAACATGTTCCAGATCAGGCAAGACATGCTCCAAACTCGTCCCCAGTCTATCTTGGGACTATTCCTGGGTATTTCTCCTGTCGAGGGGGCAGGCCCGACGTCAGCCTCGCGCAGCGCGTCGCCGAGGCGCGCGCGCAGCTCGCGGACGCTGTCGGCCAGCGAGGCGCGGGCGTCCGACTCCGTGCCGGCAAAGGAGCGGGCCTCGCCGACCTCGGCCTGGGCCGCAGACAGCTGCGCCTGCAGCGCGCCGAGCTGCTCGCGCACCTCGTCGGGCGTGTGAAGGGGCCCCAGGGCACACAAACAAATACGCACAAATCAAACGATTCCCCATATTTTCCCATATTTTCTGGGTTCCTGTCTTCCCCCCCACTTCCCATATGTTCCCATATTTTCAGAGCAATCGAAGATTAATTGTGTCTGTGTGTTTTTTCCTCTCCTGAGCGTTGCCAGACGTGCCCCTGGCCCAGGGTGCGCCTGAGCTTCTCGGGGTGGCCCAGGCGGCCTCCACAGCACCCCTCGCGAGTCCCAGAGGGCCCCATGGGCCCCATGGGGCCCAATGGTGCCCCCAGCTGCTCGCTCCCTCCTGGGGCCCCATGGGGCCCTCTGGGACTCGCGAGGGGTGCTCTGGAGGCCGCCTGGGCCACCCCGAGAAGCCCAGGCGCACCCTGGGCCAGGGACACTTCTAGCAACATCCGACCTTGGGTGGCGTCTCGTGGGAGCCACCCACACAATCGTGTCGGCTCGTGCGAATCGACGCTGCATCGTCCAGAATCGACGCCAGTCGACGCCAAAGCGGCGCTGTCTCATTGACCGCCGGTTGTTAATCGGCGCTAGCCGACGCCACAGCGGCGCTGTCTCATCGACTGCCAGACGCTGATCGACGCTACTCGACGCTAAGAACAGAATTGCGAGGGTACACGAGAGGCTGCTCGTCGAGGAGTGGCGTTGCAATCTCTCAGCGTGCGCAGGCTTCTGCGTCTCCGCTGCTGCAGGAGCGCCCTCGCAGTCCTTGGCGGATCGCGGAGGCCCTCGTGAGGAGTGAGGGCTCCTGGCTTGCCAAGCGCACCTGCTGCATGGCCCGCCGCTCCACGTCCAGCTCCGCGCGTGCGCCGCCCAGCTGCGCCCTCAGGGCCGCCTCGCCGGCCGCCAGCGAGGCGCCGGAGCGGCGGGCCTCCTCCAGCTCGCACCGCAGCGCCCTCGGAGAGACACACACACGCACATTCACACACACACACACACCAACACACAAATTCACACACACACACACGCACGCATTCACACACACTCACACACACAGACACAGACACACACAGACACAGACACGCACAGAGACACACATACCACACAGACACACACAGACACACACGCACACACGCACACACGGACACACAAACACAGACACACACACAAACACACACACACATATACACAGACACACACACACAGACACACACACAGACGCACACACGCGCACGCACACACAGACACACACAGACACACATACACACGCACACACACGCACACACAGACACACACACACAAACACACACAGACAGACGCATGCACCCAGATACACACAGACACACACACAGACAGACACACACACACACACACGCACGCACGCACAGACACACACAGACACACACAGACACACATAGACACACACACACACACACACACAAAACACACACACGCACAGACACACACGGACATACACAGACAAACGCAGACACACACACAGAGACACACAGACAGACAGACACACACACACAGACACACACACACAAACACGCACACACAGACACACAAACAGAGACACACACACACACACTCACACACACACGCACACCCAGACACACACATACACACACACACCCACACACGCACACACGTAGACACACACACAGACACGCACATATACACAGACACACACGCACGCACACACAGACACACACCACACACGCACAGACACAGACACAGACACACGCACACACACGCACACACAGACACACACAGACACACGCATGCACACATACGCTCACACACACGAACACACAGGTACTCACACAGACACACACACACACGCACGCACAGACACACACAGACACACACACAGACACACATAGACACACACAGACACACACAAACACACACACACACAGTCACACACACACACGGACATACACAGACAAACGCAGACACACACACACACATAAAGACACACACACAGACAGACACACACACAGACACACACACACACACACACGCACACACAGACACACACACAGAGACACACACAGACACTCACACACAAACGCACACCCAGACACACACATACACACACCCACACACGCACACACGTAGACACACACAGACACACACATATACACAGACACACACGCACGCACACACAGACACACACGCGCACAGACACAGACACAGACACAGACACACACACACACACACGCACACACAGACACACACAGACACACGCATGCACACATACGCTCATACACAGGAACACACAGGCACTCACAAACGCAGACACACACACACACAAACACACACACACTCACACCAGACACACACACAGACACACACACACAGACACACACACACACACACAGACACACACGCACACACAAACACATACAGACACATACACACAGACACACACACAGAAACACACAGACACACATACACACAGACACACACACAAATCATACGCCAGAGGCGCGTGGACGCTGACAATACTGTACAACGCGGCGCTGCCACATGCGCTGATCATGCACAAGGTCAGAGCTCAGATAGGGTCTCAGAGCAAGCGCCCCAACAAGCGAGGCCGTTTCGCAAACGCACCCAAGCAAAAAACCGAACAGGGCAGGGCCACGTCGAACAAAAACGCCCGGGGCCGCTCGGGAGACGGCAACTGTCGGGGGTCGGGGCGTTTTTTCCTCTTGGGCGCCCGAAATGGGTACGGGACAAAATAGGGTACGATGTCCACAGCTCATGCTGCCCATAAACGAGCAGGCGTCATTCTGTCTCAAATGGGCACCGTCAACGGCGACACCGACAGCGAATCTGGTTCAGAATGAACAGGAACTGCTGTCGGTCTTCGTGCCCACTCTTTCCGTACAGTGGAGGCCAGTCCACAAGAAACCCAACCCTGAGACCCCAGGACGCCCATGGATTTTGTGATGTGGGAACGCCACGCCCTCCATCGCAAAAACAAGTGAAACCCGAGAAACCCAGGGCACCCTGGAGGCCAGCGGGGTGCTCCTTGGCATGGGCCCCCACTGCACCCATTCCGTTCGTGCCGATCCTCCCCTGAGGCCTCAGCTGCTCCGAGAGCGCCGACGCCCCGCTGCGCTCCTCGCCCAGCTCCGCCCGCAGCGCGCCCAGCTGGCCCCGGAGGGCGGCCTCGCTGGAGCTCAGCGCGCCGTTGGCCCTGCGCGCCTCCTGGCAGATGACGACGACGATGACGATGACGATGACGATGAGGACGACGACGATGATGCTGATGATGATGGTCGTGATGACGATGACGACGACGATGACGATGAGGATGACGACGATGATGCTGATGATGATGATGATGATGATGATGATGGTCGTGATGGCGATGATGCTGCTTATGATGGCGATGACGACGACGATGCTGATGCTGATGCTGATGCTGATGATGCTGATGATGCTGTTGATGAGGCTGTTGATGATGATCATGATGATGCTGATATGATGGGCGGCCGCCGGGAGGACGAGTGTGGCACCTCGCCATCGCTCGGACGCCCATTGCCCGTACATTTGCTTAATTCGTGCGCGTCGTTTTGCAAGATGGTCCGCACTGCTCCTCGATTGGTCTGCGGCACGGGGAGGACCAGCGGGGGACATTTCGAGAACAGAACATCCCCCATATCAAAATCACCCTGGCAAGCGAAGCCGTTTGGCAAAAACACGCGAGGAAGCAGGGCAGGCCCGTTGAGTAAATGCCCGGCGCCGTTTAGGAAACGCCTTGGGGTCGGGGTGCTTCTTCCTCTCTTCAGGAACGGCCAGTCCCCCAGGGCTGGATGGCCAGGATGTCCCCCGCGTGGCTCCAGGACCGCCTCACCCCGGACCTCCCCGAAAGTCCGCCCCAGGCGGGCTCAAAGGCCACCCCCGGGTGGCCCCAGCAATCGCCAAGGGATGCACCAAGATGGGGCAGGAGCGGTGGAGTCGCCTGCCCTCTGCTGGAACTCCGACACCTTCAAAAACCTTTGGCAGCCTCCAAGTATGAGCATGAGGTGGAAGAGGAGGAGGAGGAGGAGGAGGAGGAGGAGGAGGAGGAGGAGGAGGAGGAGGAAGAGGAGAAGGAGGAGGAGGAGCCTGATGATGAGGAGGAGGAAAAGGAGAAGGAGGAGGAGGAGGAGGAAACATAGGACGAGGATGAGAAGGAAAAGGAGGATGAGGAGGGGGAGGAAGAGGGGGATGAAAAGGGGGAGGAAAAGGAGGCGGGCGAGGAGGAGGAGTCCGAAGATGAGGAGAGAGGAGAAAGGAGAGAGGAGGAGAGAGGAAAAGGAAACCAAAAAAAGACTCGGCATTGCGTGTGGTCTCGTGCTGCGCTTGCTAGGGCTAGCTGCAGCTGGAAAACCGTTGAAGCCTCGAGCAATCGTCGACGCTGGTCGGCGAGGCCGATAGTCGCGCGCACCGTGCGGCAGGACATACATTTCGCGCCGATGCAAACCGGAAGAAGTTTCCCGCGGGCTGGGGGTGATGCCCCGATGGCCTCGATTAGGCCAAGTCCGACGTCGCGACAAGTGACGGACGAGCCTCCGAAGCGCCCGCCCCGCTCCGACGAATTTCTGGAAACACAGTGGGCCCACATGGGCCCATCCCACCCCGCGAGGGGTCGGCGGAGGTGTGCCACCGTGCCCCGCTGGGCGCTGATCGAAGGGCCCACGCGGCATCCTTCAAGCAGCACCTGGCGAGGAACGTTGGCCTACCTTCACCCCGAGACCCCTCGTGGGGGGAAGCTCCAATTAGACGAGGTCTCGACTGTGCGCAGGAAGAGGAGAAGGGAGCGTGAAACGCGACGCTGGGGAACCGAGGCGGGTCGGCGACAAACGGGAGAGGATCGCCCTTCCCCCGTTTGGGGGCCGAAGCAAAATTGGTGATCCTCTCGGCTGCGCCGGGGCACGCAGGTGGGCGCCTGCGTGGAGCCTTCGCCCCCGAAGGTCCGCAGCTCCAGCGCCGCGTGCTCGTGCATCTGGTGGTCGGACAGGATCACGTCCCGACCGATGAAAGCGAAAACAACCGTCGAGACGATGACGTTCGTCAGCACCGTCGAATGCATAAGGCCAAGGGAGGGTCAGAAAACTCTGCGCGCAGCTGGTGTAGATAAGCGCCCCAAGCATTCACTTAAGAGGAGTCTCGCACTCTTGAATATCTACGGTTGGGTCCGTCAAGCCACATCTTTGACGACATGGACATCCATCCGCTGGAAGTCGGCGCGTAGAGCGAGAGGTTTCAACTCTACCCTCTGTAGCCGAGGCCCATCCGCATAGAAATCAATCCAGCATCAGGAAGGATGCACTAATGCGCATGGAGACGTAGTGGACTCAACTTTCCCGCATAAAAAATCGGTTGCACCCGCTGTCGTGGGAACTCTCCTTCTTAGAGATACGATCCTGGAGAGCGCGCCGGCGCTCTTCCCAAGGAGTCAGCCTCTGCCCTTGCCTTTGCCACGGCCGCCCGTCTTGCTCTTGTCCAACAACTTCTGAGCCAGGTTCTCGGCTTCACCTTGGCTTCACCTTGGCTCCAACAACTTGTCCCTGCGGCGCCGCCCCTGGCTTCACCTTGCCGCCCATCGCCTCTGTGAGTCGTCGCCTGCTCGAGCTCCAGCTTCGAGTGGGTGATGTCCTCGTCCAGCTTGTTCTTCAGGGCGATCTGGTCGTTGTAGTACTGGTCCCGTCATCGACGCGCTCTTGTTCGAGATGAACTGCTCGTGGAGACGACTGAGAACCAAGTGGCTGTCGGCCGCTGTCGCCTTGACCGCTCCGCTTCGCACAGGCGAATGCGCGCGGCGCGACGTGCAAATGTGGAGGGCCCAGATGTGGCTTGGCCGTCGATATCTGGGCGCGCCGATCGCGCAGGCTGCCCGCCTCGCGGCCAGCTGCGATCGCGAGCGCCGCCGTTGCAGAGATCATGCCCGCCCACTCCGACGCCGCCATGGCCCTGAGTAACTGAGCGCGCTGGCACGCCATCTTCAGCGAGATGTTGACCGCGGACTGTAGGTCCCTTTGGCGCAGCGCCTGCTCCACGGCCGCGGGGCCGTCCTCGGCCGCGTCGCCCTCTCGCGCGCGCTGCTCTCGTGTTTTTTTTTGCCGCGCGGGCGACTCCTCCCGCAGCTGGCTCGGTGTCTGCTTTTGGTCTGCGCCTTTTTAGTAGCACTGAGAGGTCCATCTCCCGCTGCTCGGGGGCCGCGGCCGCTGCAAGTGCGACGCCTGGCGTGGTCTTGAAGACGTGCTCGCGGCGGAGGCCGGGGGGGGGGGCGAGTCGTGTGTGCTTTTGAAATTCAAGTGGAGTTTGATATGACAAAATACTGACGTGGTCTCTGATCGTGCTTTGAATCTCTCGGACAAATACTGCGAGCGTAACTTCGCATGACGTGTCTCTGACCTGTCTCACGCGTGCTCAATGCTTGTAGGCGCCGGAAGCATTGGTTGGTGACCGTCAAGAGCGAGGCCTCGTTTCACACCCTGTGCACCCGCCCCGCGTGTAAGAGTATATATTTTATGTGAGGGAATTGTGCCCCGCAGACCTGTCCGCGCTCGTCCCGAAGATTGCATCTGAAGTTTCTGGGCAGGTCCTCCACGTCCTCCAGTGCGCCTTCAGGGCCCTCGGGGACTGCTTGGTGTTCAGGTGGTGCGACGCGATGCGTAAAACAATCTGCCCGAATAATCGTGAAATCGACGAAGACCCAGTCCCAGAAATCGTCTGGCTTAAGCATCTTATGCCTGGGGACGTCTGGTGGCACCAGTTCCTGGGACCCCTCGGATGTCGAGGGGGCGAGCTCTAGGTCCGCCGAGACTTGCCGAGCCCAGGGGTCGGCAGAAAGATGCAATGCGTAGTCTTCGCGAAGAACGTCTCCGCCCCCCAGACTGCCAAATATGCGAGCCCTCAACCTGCCGGTGGTCTGTCGGGTACTTGGTCCAACTCTGGTGCCACTTAGGGCGCCTGACTCGAAGTTCCTCAGCCGTGGGGGGATCTACCAGACGCGGTTGACCTCGGTGGTATACCGACGCCTGAGCTCGCTGTCAGGCATCTCCGCAAACCCCTTCCCTGCATGGGCCCAGTCTCATCGCGCGCTGGAGAATGGCGTCTGACTCGTTCCCGTAGCTCTTGCCTGAGTCCGACCCTCCATGCCCGACAACGAGGCCCCCTGCGCAAACGAAGTAACCGCCGTGCGCATCGCGCCGCAAGCTGAAAGATGCACGAAGAAATTGATATCATGTCTAGTCCCGACCTCCCCGCCTGAGTCCTCTTCACATTCTCGGCCTGCAACGGGCCTGTCGCGGTCGCCCACCCCCCCGAGATGCGTAGAGACCGTTCCAAGAGCCATGAGTTAGAAACCGAACGACTGTGGGCGATCTCGCGCTTAGCAACACTGCCGGCCCCGAAGATCCGTGCCAGAGACGCCCTCGTCAGGGTGGAGACAAACGCCGATGTCCTCCAGCGACCCCGCGAGAGCCCTGCTGCTCGAGGAAGCCTGCCCCAAGAAGCGCGCTGTGGCTAGCCAAGCTGAGGGGCCCGTAGGGGCCTGCTCGGGGACCGCCGTCTTCGCGATATCGTCGGCGTAAATCGCGATGCCTACGTCCGTCGTCATCTCGCCGATCTCTTCAGCCTCGGGGCAGGACTTGGGGGGCGCGGGGCCCGCGTGGAGAGGAACAGGTTGAACCCCAGGAGATAATAGTCATGGTAGTAAGGAAAGGCCCTCGCTGGGTCGGGGTGCCCCGTCGTCTCGCCCGCGGTCGGTCGGGGAGTCGCCTGCGCATCGTTCGCGTTAATCAGAAAAAAAAGCCCCTGAATTGCCCCGACGCGTTGGGGGCCGACATCTGCGGGGCGAGAGAGAGAGAGAGAGAGAGAGAGAGAGAGAGAGAGAGAGAGAGAGAGAGAGAGAGAGAGAGGAAAAAAAAAAAAAAAAAAAAAGAGAGAGAGACCCACGCGCGTCAAGTATCTTGTGCTCGCGAAGGCGCTAGCAGCATCTTCGCTCGCAATGGCGCGGGGTATGCCGTGCTTGCGGAGGCGCCGCGGAAAAACATGCCTGCGCTGCAATGACATCTTTTCGACGCCTATGCCGTGCAAAACCGCGGCAGAAGCAGGGTAGTCGCTCTCGTTCTCGGCCGCCGCTTTGCCGCAGGTGTGCATTCCAGCGCTTGCTAGTTGGGCGGGAAACGTGCGCCCATCTCTGGCTCTGGGGCCCT